GATAGATAGATAGATAGAGAGAGAGAGAGAGAGAGAGACGGAGACAGAGAGAGAGAGAGAGAGAGAGAGAGAGAGAGAGAGAGAGAAAAAAAGAAGGAGAGAAAAAATAAACCGCGGCCCACGGCCCTGACGAAAGAAAGCTAGACCATTTTTACTCCAGTCTTTCCACTGGTGCGCACTGAGTCCCTGGGCGCAGGGGGAAACCTCTCCTCAGCTCCGCAGATTGAAAGAAAGAAAGACAAAAAGGAGAAATACAGAGAGACTTGGCACCAACACAACTATGACCATGGTGCCCTGACAGGATAATGATAACACCGAGGCTGACGATTGCCAAAAGCCCTTCCTCGCGCGCCCAGCCATCACCCACCCAACCCGCAAGGGGGCACAAACTACCGACGAACATCAACGACCAACACTGAAGCAACAGAGCTCGATCAGACACAGCAGGAGGCGCCTGCGGGAGGGAACGCGGCCAAGGACTAGGACTAGGAGCGACACAGGTGTTGTGCGCCCAAGAAAAGGAAGACACCTACCGCCGGGGGCGCCGTCGATGGAGGATGTTGCAGGGCGAGCATTTCCACTCGCTAAGGCACGGAAACCTTCCGGATTCGCACACAGAACGAGTCGATGCTAGGATGTAAAACGAGGAATGGTGACCAGGGGAGGCGGCGGATGACAATAGAAGAACCCTGGCGACTAGGGCCGAACAGCGCCGTCATGAAGGCAGGGAAGAACAAAGAAGAACGAACAAAGCGTGGAAACAAGCGCTCAAGGTTCGACTGGAGCGGCGCAACTAGGTTGGAGTAGCGGCGCGGCAGGAGGCCACACAGCACGGTTACCACCCGACGGGGAGAATATCAGACCCAGGGAGGTCCCACACCGGTATCCGAGAGTAAGAAGGCCAACAGGCCCAGCCAACAGGAGCCCCAGTTGCAGCTGCAACAATCATCATCATCGTCGTCGTCGTCGTCGTGAGACATGGCCATCGTTGCAGTCCATTTGGGATGTGAAAAGGGTGGATGACCATCAGAATCCACATCGCAAGCGTCACCGCAACCATTATCGACACCACCCTCGCCACCCCCATGCTGCCACCACCAGGGCCATCGTCATCGTCGTCATCATCATCATCACGACCACCTCCTCCGTTCATTATTTTCAGTGTACTGATGCTTGCTGCTCCTGTGCCTGTCAGCGGATGGCAAACACCTTGTCCGATTGAAGGCATGCTCTTCAATTCGAGGTCAGGACTTTCCAAAGGTAAGCGAGGGGATCGGAATCCGGTGGCTTCGGGTGGGAGGTTGGGTGGAAGGGGTAGGAGTACTTGGTATGTGTGTGTGTGTGTGTGTGTGCGTCTGTGTGTGCACCTCCTATCTCAAAGGATGTAGGCGGTAATCACTAAAGTTGCGAAAACTTTCTGCAGTTCAGTCTCACCTTCAACAGGCAAAATGCAAGATGACAGATCTTACGATCACTACGTCTTTTGCAAGAGCTTTGCCAGTGTTTTGCGAACTCAGATCTCGCCAGAAGCAGAGGGGCAACGGCCCATCACTCTGCGTTGTCCAACCAACCTGTGAGAGAGGAGGTAGAAGCAGGATGGGAGGCCATGCTGTGTATTTGCCAGTAGGCTGCACCTGGATCCCGTCGTAGATAGCTGGTGGGCGCAGGCAACATCACGAAACACCTAAAAAAGCTGAAGATGTAACGTTCGATCTAATACAAACAGCAACAATCCATGTAAGGATGACTGGTCTGCAAGCGTGTCTGTGCATGTTTGCGATGGTGGTTGGCATGCAGCAATTTGCCTGCAGTAAGGCTGCGCAGAAAAAGACGAGACGGGGAACCGATAGACTTCCACGATGTCTTCAAGGAGCACCGGCAACGGGTGCCAAGCACCGTGCACCGTTGCTGACCTGGAGGACAACCTGACTTGGAAAGAGTGGCAGTATGTGAAAGAGCACGGTCCCTGCCTTGACCGAGAGTACGAGGTGAGAGCCAAAATCCGAGAAGCAAGAAATACGGATAATACAGGGCTCATTGGGTCAGGCCTTCTCGCGTTTCTGGTCGGCGAAGGAGGCCTTCGTGAAAGCACGAGGGGATGGTCTTGCCTACCCATTGGGGAAGGCCGGTGTGCCGGATTTCCAAGGTAGTGTGTGATGTGCAAAGATGTGCATGAAGCATGTCCCACATGCTGCTGCCGCTTGAAAGGCAGAGTTCCATTGGAAGCCAATTGACGGCTACGACTTTGGGACTGCCTTTGAGGGTGACGTTCACATAGAAGGCCTTGCAGCCTGCACATCAGCAGTCCTCAAGCTGGATGGCTTGTCATAGGTACGCACAGCCCGAAGTGGCGGTTCGTGCAATACAGGACCGGAGCTTTGCTCACGGCTCTCACAATGTCTCAGCTTGGACTTTTCTGCAGGATGCCCGGGGACTCCCCTCATTGGACGACGGTTGGTAGAGGACCGTTGACCGACATTGTAGACGCGTGCCCCGGCCGTGCTTGGGCTTTCTGTGGCCAGGTAACCAAACTCGAGCTGTGTGGTTTCAGCAACCCACAAAAACCACGAGGAGTTGCGAATTATGGCTAGGATGAGTTCCGAAGCTGGCCCGATCGCCTACAGGTGGTCTTCCAGCTGTGATGAGGAAAATGCACATGTTTGAGACTACAACACCCCCCCTTCCGGCAGCAACAGCAAAAAATGAAGCACCCCCCCCCCCCGCAGCAACAGCAAAAAAAACACACCTCCCCGTAGCAACAACAAAAAAGCACCCCCCCCCCGCAGCAACAGCAAAAAAGCAGCAACTCCAAAAAAGCACTCTTGCCGTCCCTGCCCTGCCCTCTAATGCTTCTCATCCTCGTGCAGAATGTGACGCAGAGTGGGCTTACGGCCAAGCCTGGTCCTCCCGGAGGCAAGGCCCCAGAACGAGATGCTTGCGAGCTGCACAGTCCAGCATTCAAGTTCAGGCGCACCCCATGCAAGATCCTTCCTTTCACAAATGAGGGCAGTCAAGGGCCCTGCGCAATGCAATTCCAAGGCAAGTTGTTTTCCTGCCAACCTCTCGACAGATGCCCCAGCACCACAGAAGGTAAACGGCTGATACCATCAAAGAAACCATTGATTTGCGGAGCCGCTCCGGGTCCTAATAAAAGACCTCAGCAAGCCGCCATGGAAGCGGACCACAACCTAAACGATGACTTCCAGGCAGGCTGGTATGCAGGCTCCACTCACACAGCCAGCCGGCTCGCGCCTTGGCCAGAACCCATCGGCGTGATGTCATCATCTGCTGCTGCTCCGATTTCGCCAACCTCCTCACCAAATGCGCATCTCCACCATGCGGACCGGAGGAACGGCAAGAAGGAATGACCGATACGAAGAACAGCATTGGACAGAACCAGACAGTGTGAGCAGCAAGTCAGTTCGCTGGTTCGACTCCATGAGAGTAGTTCAGGCACGGGAATGATCAGGCCGGATTGCAGGACCAGTGACAAGCGGACTTCACAGGACACTGCAATATGGAACATCGACATACGTAAGAAAGGAGGTAAGGAAGGAAGGAAGCAAGCAAGCAAGCAAATCAATGGCTTGATAAGGAAATCTATAAATGCATGAATGGATAAAGCAGCGAAAAACAGACTGATAGACAAATAGATGAGTAATTCGATTCCGATAAATTAATAGATAAACGAAACGATGATTAACAATGTGAGTACATAACTATACAGGTATTGCACATGCATATACATACACATACACATTTGACATGCGCACATACATATGCGTGCACATGTACAAACATATACACACATACATATAACAGTATGTAAATGCATATATGTATATAATTCATTATAATGGAACACCAGGGATACATATACAACTGCAACTGCAACAACAAGTACAGCAAACATACATAGATTGCACACCTACCTACCTACCTACCTACCTGCCTGCCTGCCTGCCTGCCTGCCTGCCTGCCTGCCTGCCTGCCGGCCTGCCTGCCTACCTGCCTACCTGCCTACCTGCCTACCTGCCTACCTGCCTCCCTGCCTACCTGCCT